CAGGTCCCAGCAGTTACTCTTGGATGGCAAAAATAAGAAGTTTGGTCCAACCGCAGACAAAAGATGGCATCTGGGACCAGGAAGTTGTTGGCTCTGGACTCATCCAGCTTCCCATTTGTCTGCAGGGCTGCCCTGGACCCCTGCACTGGGATCTGCTTAGACCAGGCAGGGGCCAGCCAGACGTGCTGGAAGTGGCACGACTTCAGCCACCATGCTCATAGCCCTCCTTTCCAGTCCATCACCATGAAAGTAAGCAGCCACATCACTATTAAAATCCTGGCTCAGGATCAAATTGCCTTACTGTTCACCTGCTACAGCAATCACGCCCATTTCAAGATCAGGTCCCTGATCAAGGTACGTATTTGCTAAGGTAGCCCTCACCAGCCAGCTCCTGCCTACCAGCTCCTTGGAGAGTAGCAGCAGCAGGGAAACAACTCAGTGGAGATAAGCTTGGGGCTGCCGCATGGGACTGGTCACAAATTTTCAGGTGGAACAGTCACCATTTCATTCAAAAGCAAATTTCCTGCCTGTGTGAATCTTAATGAAATTCCCTTTCAGGAAAGCATTTAGATAAGATTGAAATGCTGTCGCTGAAGGGTGAGAACAGGAAGTTGCACAAATTCATTCTGAAACACTTTTTCTTACCAAAACATTTATATTAAATGTCAATAGAAACACAAAGCTCTTGATTTTATCTAAACCAGCATTTCACTTAATGTGAAACAAGCATCTGGGGAGGTTTTCGCAATACAGGGTACACTGAAATCCTTTGGTATTTGTTGTCACTCAGGTTTCCCACATCTGACCCTTTGCTGGAGGTGGAAATGCTGTTCTGGCCAGGGATCCGCCCTGCTCAGTGCTGGTGCAGCTGTCCCAGCTTACTGGTATGCACCTCTGTCCTTCTCTGGATGCAAACACAACTGGTCAGCTCTGAAACACACATTACATGTTGCCAGGAGCTCATGCTTTGTTGGGGGATGTGGCCTCAGGGTGAAGGATTCAAGTTGTCTCCCCTGGTGCAGACACAAACCGAATTTTGACAGCCCTAATAGCAAGCCTATATGTGACCACAGATGTGTTGCTCATGGAAACAGACATAGGGGGGAGCTATTCAGAAAGGTGGCAACAAGACAAAAGTTAGTGCAGAGCCATGAAGCACTGGCATGTGCTTTTCAATCCCCAAAATTCGGACTTCTTCTCAGGACAAATTGCTACCTTTGTTAAGGAATTCAGTTTCCTTGCCCAACTCCTGGGCAGCCCACTCCTACCAAAAGAGGTTAGAGCCATGAGTTTAGCTCCTCTGGCCCCTTGTACATGCACTGGCAGAGGATTACCTCCAAAGGGGAACCGTAGGGTTAGTGTGCTCCATGAGCAGGGAGGGAAGGGCACCTTGAACACGCTACACGGGTAAGCATAAAAGGCTGGGTTACAAGGGATGTTCTCCTGCTCAGCCTTACTTAAGGGGGTTCAGCATTTGTGGTCTTCATTTTGCACAGGCTCTCTTTGCAGTTGACCATTGACCCAGAGACAAGTCACCTACTGATGTGGCCAGAAAGCAAAGAGGAGCTCTTCCTTCAGCCTAAAAAGAATCAGCTTAGGAGCCTGGTGTCCAAAACAGGCAGTGTTGTAATACTTTTGGCAAACCCCCTTTCAGTGATATCACTCCTTGTGCTTCATCATCTTCTATCTGCACAAAATACTGAAATTAAGATATTAAGACTCACAGCAAGCAGTTTCATCAGCATTTCATATCAACTTTTCCTCCATCAAGGTGATAACAGTCACTTTGTGATGAAAATAAAAACTCTTCAAGCTCACAACGCCTATCTTCCTGTACATCAAGTCCTTGTAAGATCAAATTCATCTCAGTTGAAAGCACTTGATGGATCATAGTATGATCAGTGGGGTCATACGCTGAATGTGCAGTGCTCTTGGAGGAGGCAGCTTCCTTCCTACAGCTGATGAACTGTACTTTGGGAACTTGTACCAAGTGTGACTGAGGAGCCTGCTTTGGCTCTCAGCCAGAGACACCCAGGCTGGTGGAGACGTGATGAACAGCACTTTGGGCACAGGGACTGAGGGTAATCCAAGAGAGAGAAGATGAAGTGGTGCCTCTTAGGTTTCAGGGCTCCAAGATGGTGGTAGATGGTAAATCCTATAGCTTAGGGGCATGGTTGGCCTCCCATGGAAGGGGCCAACTGAGTCTTTTTTTCTTTTTATAGTTCTATTCAGAGGTCTTTCTATCAAAGATCTGACTTGCACCACAGCATTGGCTTGGTTTTAGAGTTCAACGAGGATAAAAATGCATGAAGGTAGGAAAAAGCAGCATTTGTGGACAGGGCTGTACCTACCTGAAGTCACCACAAGTTGCTTCAGCAGCACAGACTTTTTCCTCTTTTCCTACCCGTATCACTTTGCCAACACCAAATATGCAGTTTGAGTAAGGGACTATTGGTTTTGCTTGGAAAACACCCAGCATAGCATAAACTATGCTGAGGGCATCACTGGTGTGCAAAAAGAAGCATGAATGTCTGGCCAGCTGCTTTGGCATTCACTTCCCTTACGAGAGGCAATCCAAAGGGCCAGATCTCTTTAAGAGGCTCCAAGTGCCTAGGAAGCAACCGTCACAGATCACTGCCCCATACCCCTCAGACAGAAGCTGAATTCCACAAGAAAGGAGCATTTTTCCTTAGGTTAGTTCATTCAAATGACATTGTTAGAGCCGGAGGGTGAAGGGAAGCTTCACGCTGACATTATGGGACAAACCACAAGCCTCTGGATGATGTGCTTCTACAGTACCAAGGGCCAGGAAAACAGTATGTGGTAATGAGAAACTACAGGTAGAGTCTGAGTAACCAGGCAATGAGAACAGCTATCAAATACAATAATGCTTGGGCTTTCTGACACCAGCTCCCAAGTTTTCTCTTAGTAAAAGCCAACTAGTTAAAATACGTTCTTGTATTACAGTTGTGGTTTCTTCCCCTTAACAAAACTGCAAGCAAATAGACCGCTTAGTCACACAAGATCATTTGTCAGTAAAGAAAATACAAATTTACTTTTATTGTAACCATAAAGAGGCATTACTTTAACAATTAGCTGTACATTCAGTACTCAGGTATACATCTGTGCCAAATAAAGTCAATTCTCTTTCTGCTAAAGAAGAACACTTCTCAGGGATGCACTGCCTGTGCTTACAAGATGTTTATTGTCTCCGTATTATAGTTAACTTGACAGACAAGCCTCAGGATACAGAATAAAGCTTTACTCTTGGACCAAAATAGGAGGCAACATTTTTATTTAAAAAAATTAAAAACAGCAAGTTTCTAGTCAGATAATATAAAGCATCTTAAATTAATCTTTTGAAAGTATTTACATTATTTGTAAACGTAAATATCTGAAACTGTACATGTTTAAACAAATGTTCATTTAGCAAACAGGCTGTATAAACTGATTGCTCTTCTAATCTTTTGACCAGCTGTCCTAGAGCTGTCTGGGTACTCCAAGAGAGAAAAAGATCCCAAGCACAAGAGTAACTACTGCAATGGTTTACCCTTCACATATTTTCTGTATTAATTTTCAGTCATAACTCTGTACAGTGACCATGCAGTCCTTCTGTAAAAGTTTATAAAAACCAAATATACATATATTACAATGCACTGGACATTATTTTACAGCCTGTATTTCTACATAAGTAAAAAGAAAGGTAAGTTTTCTTCCTTGTTAGTTCCTTTAGTTAATTTTTAAGGAGTCACGTAAGGTCCAACAAGTACCATTTATGTACCTCAGCACCACGGCTGCAATGCTTCTCATGGTAGCTTTAAATTCTACCATCTTAGTCTCCAGCCATATGATTTATAACAGGAAAATTATTAAACCAAACCACCAGCGATGTGTACAGAAATTTTACATATTTTAAGCTACAGAACAGGTTTTATACATAAGTTAAATATCTGCCACGTAAGTCACCACATTTTTCATTTGCAGGGCTGCACAATAAAGACTTACACACTGAAAACACCCTAAAGCTGCTTCTAGTGTTTCATTCCATCAACGGCTGAGTGTTTAGCGTTCAGATTTCCAAAATAATAACCAATTAATGCATACTGAACAGCATGCACTGTTTACCAGTTACCAAGTAGTTGCCCTCTGTTTACAATGCTGATTTCTGGCTTGCACATTCATTTCCTGGCATCCCAGCACCCCCTTATTAGCACTTACACAAAGGTTGTACAAGTTCCACGCCCAGTTCCCACTTTAAACAATGCAACAACACCATTTGATCTTGGATAAGGCAAAAACACAACTCTAACCTAAAACTAAGTACCTGAGAATCTCAATGCTAAGCTTTGCTGTAAAGCATCCGAAAACATGCAGTTCCCTCAGAAACAACAGAAATTCTATTGCACAGCTTTCCATTGCAAATCCCAAGGAACTGAGATTCTTTACATGGAGGAAGGTTAGAGCATGAAACTTCAGGTCTGACCTCACAGCTCCCAATCACAACAGTGTAAGAAAAACAACACATCCAGTGTTTCAAGAAATGCTTCACATGCAGGAAATAGTTTTCCCAGCTAAGAACCTCCACATTATGTTCAAGCACATGGTGAATTACCAGGATTTTCAAGGGAGTTAAAGAAAAATCAGAGCATGCCTGCTTAAGTCAAATTGTCATACCGATGTGCTTATCTCCAAGCCTTGCAAATACCTATTACCACTTCTATTTGATTCCCTGAACATTATTTCCAGCGTGTCTTTGAAAGTGCGGCTTTTCACTGCATACATCAGCTTATTAAAGGAAAGCAAGCAAGGTTTTAACATAAAAAAAAACCCAAACAAGGAGGACTCCAACTTTGAAAACATCTGGATAAGGCAGTAACTGAGCTTCCACAACATTGATCAGCAAAGGGGTTTTTGTTTTGTTTTTTCTTTCCCCCCCAACTTCTCAAGCCAATGAACAGAAAAACCTTAAATAAATAAATAAAACCATTTTGGGGGGTTTCTCCTAAAACAGGGTTAAGCAGCCTGGATAGTTTTGATGCAGACTGAACTGCACAGTGGGATCCTTTGTTTACTTCAAGCAAATCTGTGTGCATTGCCTTCACTGCCTTGCATTCATCTGAAGCATATTTCAAGCAGCCTCACTGTCAGGCTACTTGGACATCGATAAAAGTAAGTTCACCTGAAAGACAAAAGGAAAGCCTACATTAGAGTAGCTAAGTTTCAAAAAGTATATATATTTTAATCTTTAAATGGGATTCCTAGGAAGCACACAGAGGCTCAGATAAATCAGGAAAAGATAGCTACAAAACAACTGGCAAAAATTTCCAGTCAAGTGCCTACTTGCAGGATTTTTAAAATGCAGTTCTTGACCATGCTGACTAGTTATTTCAGCTGTCACAACCTACTGTGTCAAAGTCTCTAAAATGACTTCATGTGTTGTCAAGGAATTCCAAAAAAATATGCGCACTGCCAAAAACATTCCTGTTCAGTATCTGAAAAACATTTGGGATCCTTCACAATACTTGTTCCCACAGATTACAGTATGGTTTCCCATACGCCTCAGTTTGTAGGAGAAGTGATCCTAAGGATTAATGGATAAACAATTAGAGAAAGCCATCTCCTCTAGGATAACCCCACCTCCTTCCAGTGCTCCAAGATAATTATCATACATCCCTGTGGCCACATTCACTGTAGGCAATACCCTCTAATCTGTAAACGACTGTTTAAATATTGGCATCCTGGGATAATCATGATTCCATCCACATTCCCTGAACTACTAAGGTCAAAGCAAGATTTTTAAAAACCTACTTGGTTTCTGTCAGAGCATCCTAATACAGAGAATTCTCAACCCCAATCACCTCTGAAACTAAAGACCTTATCATGTAGGGTTACATTTCCATAAACATCTGCACGTTTTCCCAATGCAATTTACTTCAAATGAACCCTTTCTCATGCTTCCCAAAGGTAAAAGTTGCTGCTTTTTATATTTGTCAAAAGCAAGACTGCTTTCTCACGTACAGGCTTTTTTAAAGTGCATTCACTAGCTTTGATATTTCTCCAAAAAGACAATGCCCAGAAACGGCAACTCTGTCATGATGTTGTAAAACTCAATTGCCAACAGCATCAATCACCACCTTCAGTTTAAAAACCTCTACTGGATATTCATTAGCAAAAACCAAACACACCCCGCCCCTTTAGCTGAGACCCTAGAGTTCAGATAAAGCCTAGGATTAAGTGGGATAATAAATACCTAAATAAATAAAGACTCTGAACACTGAAAATACTAAAACTGAAAAAACTAATGTTTATAAAGAGCCAGTTACATGAAAGAGCAACTGATAAAAACCAGGGAGTTTCAATATATACCTGTTCCATTGAAGGACAAGCTATGATCTGAAGATCTTCATTACTAAATTCTTCCTTTAACAAAGCATGGAGTTTCTGGAACATTTGCTGAATGTTATTCTTTTAAAGGAAAGAAGAAAAAACTCAGTATTAAAAACCACAACACCCATCTCAAACATGAAACAGAATAAGCACAATGTACACAGAATAGCTACTGAAGTGACCAGGTAGGGAGAAGCAGTCGAGCTTTAACAGCTTTTCTCCTAAAGCAAGCCCCAAACAGCCACAAGGAATCCACATTGGCTGTGAGGTAAAAACTTCAGCTAAAATGTGCTAAGCTGAAACACTGAGTCCTACAGACTTAATGTGGAAGCTTAAAACTCAAGCTTGGTTCTTTCTGGTGAGTTTACAGTGGGTCTCCAATTGAATCTGTAACAACCTCTCTGTCTCCAGTGCTTCTGCCTATGCATAGCTGGCCAAGCTGTACAGGTTTTGGCTGGGACAGAGTTTTGGGGTTTTTTTACAGTGGCTCATACAGAAGATGTGCAGAATGAATAGAATCAGTTACTACCCTGTACCGTGTGCATGTTATGTAAGCTGAGTATAACGGAGAGCAGGACAGCTTCTTGTTCTTTGGTTTGTTTTTTTTAAGCTAAACATACCATTATAAAGCATATTTAAAAAAAAAAAAATTATTTCATGTGTCTTTTCAACAGGATTCTCAGATCAGGGACACCACAGTGACTGTAACAGTCTGTTCACTCTTACATGTGCATAGTATTTGTCACATATTTACTGGCTGGACTGGTAGCCTAAAATATACAGATATGTGTATGTATGTGTCTGTATATATACACTTATAAATTTATGCATACATACATTTATATAGATATACTATACATATAACCATACACACACAGAAATATAAGGTGAATGATCCCACTAAAGTCTTTAACTAAATGAAGGCCCCACACCTACAAAAAACCATGCTTAAGTACATCTAGCAATACTCACCCTAACTGGCTTAAACAAAATTAATTCTGTATCTTTATTGGACAAGTATAATGACATGCTTCGTAGTGTTGATGGCAGTTTTGTTTTTATTGTCTTATAAGTGGAAGAGACCAGATCGTTGATCTTTGCTGAAAGTAAAAGAAAATACGTTTAATGAACTAAAATGGCATTCTGGTAGTTGAAATCTGCATTCCATAATATCACCTCCACTTTACTGGGGCGGATCATACCCACACATTTGAGTGAAAGGGAAAGAGGAGGTGACTGGCCTGTGCAGCATCAACCCATCATACAACCACAGTATGCCAAACAATGCTTTTCTTTTGGGACCTACTCAAGACATCTGCCTCTCTTTCCTTGCAGAAAGTGCATCCAACCCATTTCTGCAAGCTACCACATCCTCCTGAGGTTCCTGAAGTCACCGCCTTCCAACAGCAAAGTCCTACAGAGCCTCCCCCCTAGAAAACTTGTCTGGAAAAGAAAAACTGCTGGGAAATATCAGAGAAATAAGAGAACAGCACATGACAATTCTCCTTACTGACCACAGGCCACATCTGTAAGAAGAAAGGCTGCATAGCCATCTGGATTTTGAATCAACCAAACAGAAATCCTCTCTCAGACAAGACCTTCTTTCTTTATTGCTAGGTATTTTAATGATTTTACAAGATCTTTGCTTAAAGGGCAGGGGGAAAATATATTTCATAGCTTTAAAGTACCAAAATTAATATACTATGGTTTTTTTAAACTCAATTTCTACTGTTTCTAAATTTTCTGCCTGCCTCTGCTTCCCAGACAAATGACTCCAAGAAACAGCAGAAGCTCTGCTTAGATCTGCCTCTAACACACATAATTATCTCCAAACAAACATTAAAAATACTCTGAAGAAGTAGGAGATGTTAAGCAGAAGCTTGAGTTAGTCCTTGAAAGTGTCTGACCCATGGACCAGCACTGAATTATAAATGAACATAGCTGGCTTTGCATTTTAAGAACATGATGCAACAGAAGGCTCCAATGTATGAATTGGAATAATCAGATTTCTGTCACCCAGAAGCACAAGTTCGTAACATGAAGAGCAAAACAACCCTGAAACATCTAAACTACTCCAAATGCTCCTAAGAAGCATTCACATTTGAATTTTTAAGATGACGGAAACAAAACTGGATTCCATTTTTGCACAGTGACAGAAAAACTGAAAAGGAAGTAGGTACCAAATGTACAGACAATGAAAGCTTCAATGCAGATTCAGTTTTTCCTACAAAACCAAAAACTTTATCTCAATGCAATCAAATAATTCCTTAAGCACATTCTGTATGCAGTTGCAGAAATGCTGTTTTCATGCAAGAACAGTTACAGCTTCAGAAACACTTAAGTCATTCACCTACTGCACTAATTAAATATATCCTGAAGATTGTCAGATTTTGTTTTAGAGGTATTTTAAGACATTTTAAATAGCACACAGGTAAAAATGGAAGCCAGGATTTTCAAGAAAAAGTTCTCGGGTACTTAGAATTTTTCCAAATCATTGCAGTCTCAGAGTCCAAATTAATCTGGCCAATTTTTCAGCCTGATAATACAGCTTATATTGCTCTACCAAAAATAGTGAATGGGAAGGGTCTCCATTTGATGAGAAGTTTTGAGAAGAAGTCTCAAAGTAGTACATGATCATGGTTTTACTAGTCTATGAGTATAAAACAAAGGAAATACCTGGTTGTGCCCAAGGTTGCTGTGAAAGGCTGTACTTGGGACCTCCTTGAGTGGCCATTGTTTTTAAAGCAGCTACCTAAAACAAGTACAATCAACAAAATGGTGTTTCTTTCAGTTGAATTCACAACAAAGTGTCCAAGTAACAACTGTGCAAGTCTCCCAGATACTGCAGTGTGTGGAATCTCCTCTGCTCTCTCTCTTCTATGCCCTGACTTAACAGCACACAGCTGAAGTAGCTTAACAAAAATGCAATTCAAAATTACAACCATGATCACTACTTCTTGAAAGTAAAATTCAAAATGGGATTAAATTTACAAAGTCTCTTAGGCACCTAACGATACAAAACCTCAAGAGATTTACTTAAGCACGTTAGTCAAACATCCCAGATTCCAAATGAAATCACTGGGATCACCTAGACGATCCATCAACCTCACCAGTTATTCATCTGTATTTTAGGCACACCACTGACCCCTCACCCCAGCATGACAGGCATCAGTAAATTTAACACTGTAATCTTTTAAAACAGCAGCTGGGATATTTGCGATGTTCATGCAATGCTGTAGCCCCAGTTTCTGAGATGTCATGCTGCTTATTCTCAGTACATACATATCCACATCACACTTCTTATCTTCCGGAAGTAACAGATCCCGCTGCATGGTTTTCTCAAGATGCCTAGAAATTTTGAGCTCTAGCGCAGGTTCTAGAAAGAAGTGTATTGTAACAAGGTATCTCTTTTGTTCCTATCCCCTAGGATGCCTAATCTTTCTGATCAACTTTTATCAGGAATTTCTGTCAGAAACAGGACTTGGGAGGAAAGTCCTGCTCAGCAAGCACCTCACAGGTATAAAATACACTGAGAACAGAAAATTGTAACACACTTCACAGCCATACTCTAAAGACTTCCCTCAAGAACATGTGTGACCCAAGATTGTTTCTGGAGGTTTAGTCAAGATAGGAATCTTCCTGCAATCAGAAAAGCTCCTGCCAGCTTTCACAGACCTGTTTCACCTCAATGAAACATTAAAGCTTCTTGATCAAAGAGCATAAGGGTTGCTTTCTAAAACAAACTATAACATGTTCCTTTAATCTGTTAATCTCAAAAGTGCCTGGAAAACTGTTGTTAGAATTTAAAGGGAAGCACAACCTTATCATGGGAAATGCCATCATCCTCAGCTAATCAGACAAAACTAGCAGCTTCTCCTATACCCAAACTAAACAGTAATTCCCTTGTCCTACCAGTATTTCAGTTAGGATAACAAACATAGAACACATCTGTACCTTTGTCATGAACTCCTCCAGCTGTTCTATAAACTGTTTGGTTTGCTGCTGAATAAACTGCTCACAAGCTGATTTCAGATGACGATCTACATCTTTCTTAGAGTCAATATAATGTTCTCTGATTTCTGGAGTACCCTTGAACAGAAGACAACAATTCTCTCCTTTTTATTTGCCAAAGATCACTACCCGCTTAAATGACCCAATTTTCATTAATGCAATAAGACTCCATATTACCTCCAGTAAGAACTGTATCAAGGCGTTGTTGCTGTTTAGTCGAAAAAATCTTGAAACTGTCTTAGGGTTCAGAATTTTAAATGCTGCATCTGTGAATCAGAAAGTCACTCACATTCTAAATCAATGGGATTTGGCTCCAGGAATAAAAAACTTTAATCACTCATGCATAAAAAATGGCTATCATGATTAGAACTATAACATTAATGATTCCACTACCACTAGGTGTGGATGCACAAGTGCACATGCACAGAAGCACACAAAGCTTGATCCACTGTGTTTTAATTGCACCTGTGGTAAACCTGAATCTAACAGCTGCACAGTTTAAAGAGATAGATACATCACATGAACCTAACAAATGACTTATACCAGCTGTAGTGCTGTCAGCATGCAAGTTGTGTGAGCTCTTTTCCTTTTGTAACTATATCTACAAGTGAAAGAATTTTACATAAACTATGTAGTTAAGCATTTAGGAACAATATGCATAATTTGATCCATGTTGCCTCTGAAAACCAAGTACAGTTGCATGAAATAACATAGAGCTGGCACTCTTTTTCTTTGTGCTTAATTATTTTAGTTAGCTCTAAACAACAAAGTATCAAGGTTGATATACCCTCAATGTTTATGGTCTCCACAAAAGTCCCAAGAAAGAAAAGCAACATCTTAACACAAATTAATGAAATTATTCCTATATTGTTAACAGGATGTTGTCAACCTGAAATCTAGACAAACTGGGAAAATTATTAATACAGTTTCGGTATGGCTTTTTGCCCTAATGTCATTAATTTATCATTCTATAGATCCATCTGCTTTTTCTTCATTTCAAAACCAATTCTGCACCCCTGTTGCTGTATAAAACAATGGGGGGAAACAAGACACAAGACTTAAAGAAGTACTGTCAAAGGCATTAAATGAAGAGGAAATACCAGAGATGCAGGCATGTAGGTTTTGCACTCCTGTGCAGTTAAAGTAGACCACAGAGAAAGATTCATTTTGTTTCATTACCTGAGTACTTGATTAGAAACCTATGAGCTAGTCAGTGTGAAAGTCACTTCTCCACACTGCATGCTTCAGTTACATGAACCTTAGCATTATACTACTATAAAAAAAAAAAATTGGGCGGAAGCATGACTTTTACATTAAGCAGTGACCTTTTGTCTATAAATCCCAAATTAAATCTATGTATAAAAAGCTTGGCTAGAACACAGTAAAACTCATATTAGCCATGTTATTTTTCTTCTACAACTCATCCCAAATATAAAAGCCCTACTGGCCTATGTTATACTACATTAAGAATTAAACACAATGTACATCTTTTTCAACACCACCACTCAATAAAAAGAAAATGTTATCCATTACTTACCATTATCATCTGCAAAGCACTAGCTGGCACAAAAATTTATTCAACTAACTGAAGATGGAGAACAAACTTGTGTGTCAGCCAGGACAAGACACCAAAAGGATATATTTGCCCTTTAACCTCCAGTCAACTAGAAAATACTCAACAGGTAGGAGGTTTCATTGATGTTCAAATGCAACAGGTGAAATGGTTAGTGTAAGAATTGCTTGCTTAAAAACAGCAAGCTTAAAAACAGCAACAGTTAAAACAGCAGCATATTAGATGGCAGGAAAGAAAAGTTACTTCTTCACCTTTCTCTTCTGGAACGGAAGACGAAAACTTGATATGTTTCCAATTATTTCTCCCATTATCTTTATAAACTTGACAAATGCATGACAGTTCACTTTTGTATTGAGAGGTCTTTTTCTGCATTTTACAAAGGAACCATAGAACAATTTTAAAAATCATGGCCATGGCCACGGCCACTACTCTTTATTTTCCCTTCCTACAGCAGCACAGTTGGTACATAAAACTGTTCAACAATACTGTTTATTGAACTTGCAACCTAAGAAATCCTTTCCAAAACAAAACCTCGCAGAAAGGTCTAGGAAATCTTAATTTGTTCTAGGCAGTCAACTATGTATTGTTAAATTCACCTGCTAAACAGCGGTAACAAAACATATTCCTTTAAAGGGTCAGAAAAGGGGAAAGACATCTCTGTGCAGTAGAAATGTAGATTACTTCGCTGTTCTTAAAAAAGACTGGATAAATAAGTTAGGTCAGCAGCAAAAAGCAGTCAAATGCATTTCATACAAGAATAAAGAATTTGTTAAGATACATCTTGAATGGTTTCAGAGTTTTTTTCAGAAAAGAACAAAGCAAGAGATTAGAACAAGCATGCAGGTCATTGCAAGTGAACATAAAATAAACCCAGAACTTTTACTGGCACATTAAGGGAGGACAATCCCATCCCATGCTGTAGCCAGCAACTGTTCAGTACCTCTAGTTTTCTTAAGGTCCAGGGAAATTTCCTTAATGGTGAAATCAGTGTGGAAAGGAGCAATTTGTTCACGAAGAATCAAAAGGTGTTTTATTAAGAAAAGCTGTCCATCAACCTGGGTCTACAGCACAAGAGAAAGAATATGTATTACATGTAAAAAAAACCAATCCACAATTAAATGAAGAGCAAAGTTTCAAGACCTCCATTTTTATTAGTTACTTCCTATAACAAAATTAATACTAATAATCTTACTAGCAAGCTTTTTCCACTAGTCTGTAGTGCCAATAACTACACTCTGGGATCAACAAATCCCACTTCTGTACTGTTCCTAACACATTGCTCTACAGAAGCAGACTTTCTTCA